TCATGAAACGTCTATGTGACTTTTTATTTCACACAGATAATCGTTTGCAAACCCTCTAATATTATATATTCGTTTACACTTAATCAATTAATATTATATATTCAAAACAAACAGTAATGTAGCTAATGATATTGAATAATGAAATTTAATCATCACATATTGCTATTATGAACAAATATTCAAATCACGGCTACAAAAAGTGTAAGTTTAAATATTAATAAGTAATTAAATTAAATATAAGATGCGGCTATGCCTTCTGAGGGAAAAATACAAAATGCAATTATAATTTGGACCTATTTGGGTTTGAGTTATAATCTTAAATTGGATATTAAAGTAATCTAAGTCGCAAACTTATTCCGTTTGGGATCGTGCGGTTTTTGAACATGAGATGCTTATGTTCCGTTTGGTAGGGAGGATGGGAAGTATAAAAGATACACTTTCCTTTCTTTTTGTTTGGTTGGATGGATGGAAAATAAAATTGACTATTTTTTTTTTGTGCTGGCTAAGATTAGGAGTGACAATCGAGTCGTGTCGTGTCAGATTCATGTTGAGTCATTACAAGTTTGTGTCAAATATTAGTCAAACCTAATTAACTCATTTAACTAATTATGTCGTGTAAAGTTGCGAGTTGACATGTTTATTTTTGTATAGAGTTCAAGTCGTGTCATCGTTTTGAGTCAAAAATTTTTATCCTTAGTTAAGATAAAAAAATATTTTTTTTAAATTTAAAATATTTTTTTAATTTTAATTTTATTTTTATTTTTAAAATTTTTTAATATATATATATAATACCATTATATTTTTATATGAAATGAATGTATACATAATATATGTATATATAAAAAAATATATAGACAAATAAGATACATCTCAACACAAATAATTAATTTTTCATCCATTTTTCTTCTGATTTTGGAGAGATTGATTTTGGTGATTATAAAGGAAAATTAATTCATCAACTTTTTCATCCTTCCTACTATCATTTCTTACCAATGATGATGTTTTATTTATCCTTTCAACTTTCTATCATTTTACTTTTTCATCGTACCAAACGGAGCATTAGAATATACTTATGCTTAGGGTATACTTACGATTCCGAGATGCTTAGGATATACTTCAAAGTTGTGTCATCCTTTTCATACAACGCAAGAGATATACATTCATAGACATATAAGTATCTTAGAGCACAAGTTTTTTGGCATTGCAGGTTCTAAAGAAAGTCATTAAGATATATGTACACACACACATATATATATATACTACGTACTCGTATTAAGATATATCTGATAGATTATTACCGAACTGACATTGTTTAGAGGAAGTTTTTCAAGTTTTTTGGTTTGTTTTCAACAAAAAAAAATTTAAATTTTTTTGGGTCATGTTACAACTTTTTAGGGTACTTGTGATCGATCCTAACATTTCGTATTGATCCTAACATTTTAGGATCAATACAAAATTACCCTAAAAATTGTAAATGAACCTTAAATTTTGTAAATGAAAAACCACAAAACTTGTAATAGTGATACCATACCAATTTCTTTTCATTTTTTGCCCGTGCAGTAATGTTCTCGTGTTTGCATACAGGCATTGTGAAATGTCTATGATTTTTGTTGAATACTGGTACCCATATATTCTTTTTATTTCCCAAAGCCACCCAAACGAGACCTTAGGGTGTGCTTGTTTGGATAGATAAAGGTGAAAAATGGAATTGGATTGTGTAAAAAAAATTTGTAGCCCCACAAATACCAACTTTGGATTCAAAAATTTTTATGGGATAATTGTTGGGCTCAGTTAGTCTGCCTGTAGTAAATGAACCGTTTATCCCCACTGATACAGATAGCTTAAATCCCACGCGACATAAAAGCCGAATTTACCAACATGCCCCTCAACAGTAACAACCTAAACCTTGTCATCTTTCTTCATCGGCACCTACAATGCAGCTTTCCACTCTCTCCCTCTCTCTCTCTCTCATGCTACTTGTTTTGCTTTGGAAGTTGTAACCCAAGTATAGATGTCAAGCAAGTAGTAATTTCATTGTAAAGTCCAAAGTCGAACCACAGGGAAATGGGGATTTTAGAATGAAAAAAAAAATATTTAATAAAAAATGTTTGTGTGTTTAAGAGAGATTGATTTGGTAGTTGAATCTTAAAACAAATAAACTTAAATAGCTTGAGAAAATAATTTGGAAAAATACTAAGGCATTAGATACTTCTTCAATAACAATTGGGCACTAAATTAATCCTAATTTCCAATCACAATTGAGAAACAACTGGGGAGTCAACTCAATTAGAAGATTTATCAATGATTAATGACGAAATTCTATAAGATATAATCAATAAACTAATCTAAAAGATTCCAAATATCCAATTGTTAATTACAAGCATGTAACATGTCCGAAGTCAATGATAAATCAAGCAATTAATCAATCAAACATCTTAATTCATATAAATCAACAATTCAACTAATTAGAATAATTCATTAACAATTCAACTTAAGCTTTTACATCTAGTTATTCTACTCACAGGAAATCTCAAGTTTCCATCACATTTAATATAGTAATTTGAGATATTAAATAGAGATAAAAAAAATTTAAATAAAAGAATTTAACAATTAAATAAAAACATCAGTTAAAGCTCATAGGATTAATTATATACCCAAATGCATACTGAATTTTCTCCTAACCTTAGTAAAAGCGTTTAGTCAATCATTAATTGGGGCTACACACAAAATTAAAGAAAGATTAAAGAAAAAAGTTTCCAGATCTGGAAAATTCCCCAAAAAGTTGTAAAAAGTACAGAGAGTACTTCCCAAATCGGAGGAAGATGACCCAAGCCTCGTTTCATCGAGCTCTTTGATTGGCTGTGAATAAGGACACACATCTTGAGGTGGCTAAAGTAACATCCGAACACGAATCTTAGATTTACATGCGTTTGGATGTGAACAATGTATCGTTAGTATGTGAGAAGCTAAGAGTTCTTGCAATTTTTCCTTTAATGTAGAACCCGCTTTCGACAAGTCATATGATGGCCGTACGTGGTCTTCATGGCTCTTTTCTTCAATGCTCTCCCTTCCTTTGTGCCATCCGTTCCCATATTTGTCTTCTTATCTTATTATTTCGTCGTTTTACTTGTAAAATAAGTAAGTTCTTGCAATTTTTCTTTGATTCAGAACCCCGCTTTCAACTTGGTCATATGATGTCCTTACGTGATCTTCAAGGCTCTTTTCATCAATGCTCTCCCTTCCTTTGTGTTATCCATTCCCATATTTGTCTTCTTACCTTCTTATTTCATCATTTTACCTACAAAATAGGCAAACACAAGTTAAATTATGATAGAATGAAATATAGCATTAATCTCATACAATTAAGTACATACTTGTGACAATTGACCCTTAAATAATCTGATAAATATGCATTATTTAGGCTTAATTACTATGGCGGTGGATCTGACGAAAAATTCTAGTGAATATCAATCAGATCTCGAGTACCTTTCAGGAGCATTCAACGATAAAGTCGGCCTGCCTCCACCAACCACGTTGCTAAGCGGCTTTGAGAATTAGGAGGAGGAAACCGAGTTGGTACGGACTTCATCCAAACTCTGTGAGTTACAGGGGTTCGAGGATCAGATTTTGATTTATGGTGACCTAAAACATTGTTGATACAGTAGCACAAACGGACTGCAGACTTAGACAAAGCATATTGTCAAATTGTTTTCTTTAATTTTTTTAGCAACTTTGAAAAAGTTTACAACAAATACTTTAATTCAACACCTCAGATGTTCCTCAGCATTGAATTTGAATGTTTTAGAGCAATCAATTATTTATTTCATGAAAAATCTAAATCAATATCAAATTAAAATCAATTGGAAAAAATAGCTAGTAATTTCATTGTTTTTCATCAAATTTATATATGTAATGTAAAACTTGTTAATATATTTTGTAAACTGAATTTTTTTTTTTTTATGTTTAGGCAAGATCGAACATATTCGGGGTTGAATTTTTTGAATTTTTTTAGAATGGAACGCTAAAAACTTGATTTGATATAATAATTTACTATTTTAAACTTTGTAAAGTTGTAAATTAGTATTGCCAAAACAAATATAACATACTTTTGGATGGATTGTATTCAAGGGTATGATGGTAAATTTATGTCAAAATTATGAGATTTGATCAATATGTAAATGGGTTAGTACATGGGGCGCACAGTGTCCGAAAGTAGTAGCCAACTGAAGGATGGAATAAAAAAAAATATGCTAATGCAAACTTTTAGCTGGCTGCCAAGGGATTACTTTGGATAGGACTGAGCTCTAAATCCAACCAGGTCCAATTTGTCTGAGTTCAGCCCAACACACCCTTATTAAGGTATTATCGTAGTTGGNTCGTCTGAGTTCAGCCCAACACACCCTTATTAAGGTATTATCGTAGTTGGGATTTAATTCATCTTCACTCTACATTTCAAAATTTTTGTCAAATTATTGAACTTTCACCGGGTCTCATTGGGACCCAAGCAAATTCATTGTTGAGTCCATGGAACTCAAGAATGGATTACTTAAACTGATAATTAAAACTTTTATATTAAGAGGATCNGAACTTTCACCGGGTCTCATTGGGACCCAAGCAAATTCATTGTTGAGTCCATGGAACTCAAGAATGGATTACTTAAACTGATAATTAAAACTTTTATATTAAGAGGATCTGAATTCAATTGTAGTTTTTTTTTTAATCCAAATCAATGAACTAAACAAGCATATATAACAAACTTCATCATTTGTAATAGGTGAAAATCATTCCACCAAAAGAACCACACATAACACACTCAATTATTTTATTGCTAGTCAATCTTTTAGAAAAGATGCCACCAAACATAACCCAAACTAGTCATATACTCTTATAACAAGTTTAAGAGTAGTGTGATGGAATGTTTATGTTTGTTACTTTTATTCATAAAATATACTATATTAACTTGTCACACCCTAAGATATTGATTTCTAGTGATTCTCCCACTAGAATTGTTTCTGGAGAAGCTCAATCACTTTCTCGTCCACTTGAAATGCCTTGGTAAGAACATCAACAGAAATGGGTGGTGTCAAGCCAAAGACAGCATCTGTGATAGTGATGATCCTTGGATTTTGGCTGCTTAGAGCGACAATAGCCACCGCATTAGTTTTGCCCACATTGAATTGGAAGTGAATGAGACCAATCGGGAACACAAAGACATCTCCCGCATGTAAGACCTTGGTGAAGAGGCGGTTGCCAGAGTTCAAATTGGAAGTGACAAAACCAACATGCAGGGTACCCTCCAAGACAACAAGGATTTCGGTAGCACGAGGGTGGGTATGGGGTGGGTTGAGGCCATTGGGACCAAAGTCAATACGAGCTAATGAGATACCAAGAGTGTTGAGCCCTGGTATTTGTTCCACGTTTACT